GACACCATGCAGTATTTGTCCTTTTGTGACTGAGATACTTCACCCAGCATAATGTCCTCCAGAGTCACCCATTTTTAATAATATTGCATGAGTTCCTTGTTTTTCAATGCAGTATAGAATTCCATTGTGTGAATATACCACAGCTTCTCTATCCATTCGTTTGTTGATGGGCACTTAGGTTGTTTCCAATTCCTTGCTATTGTGGACAAAGCCGCAATAAACATGGGTGTGCATATATCTGCTTGGATGTCAGTTGTGGTCTCTTTGGGGTATATTCCCAGTAGTGGAATTGCTGGGTCAAGTGGTATCTCTATTTGCAACTTTTTGAGAAAGCATCATACCACCTTCCACAGTGAAAAGGGTTCCAGTTTCTCCACAACCTCGCCAGCATTTGTTGCTTGCTGTTCTGTTAAATTTTGCTATTCAGATTGGGCTGAGATGATATCTCATAGTTGTTTTAATTTGCATCTCTCTTAGAGCTAGGGATTTTGAACATTTCTTCATGTACCTCTTAGCCATCTGAATGTCTTCTTTGGTGAAGTGCCTGTTCATATCTTGTGCCCATTTTTCTACTGGATTATTTACCTTTATCTTGTTGTGGTATGTTCTAGCCATTTTTAAGTGATCTTCAGCAGTATTTTGCTTGAAAAAGTAATAATATTGTTTGTTCATTTATTTCCACATGCTGTTGGATCACCGTTCTTCAGAATAGAAACAAATATGGATCTCTTCCAGTCAGTCACCCGGCCAACTGTCCTCCAAATTTCTTGGCATAGACTGCTGAGCATGTACAGGTCTGTATATGTCATTTGAAATATGTCAATTTGTATCCCATTGATTCCTGGGCCCTTCTTTTTTATGCAAGCCTCATACTAAATTGCTGAACAGAAGATTTCAAAAGGCAGCGTGGGAAGAGAAAGTAAACTATTACAATGAAATGTGCAAGGAGATGGAGTCAGAAAATCAAAAGGGTCAAACTTACTCAACATTTCTTAAGCTCAAGGAACTGAAGAACAAATTCAAACCTCAAAGTGCTATATTAAGGATGCTTTAGGCAGAATATTAAATGATCCAGGAAGTATTAAAAGAAGATGGAAAGAGTATACAGAGTCACTGAATCAAAAGGAATTGGTAGACACAGAAGAATTTAATGAGCAAGAATTTCATGAGCAAGAGCCTATGGTGATGAAGGAAGAAGTAAAAACTGCTTTGAAGGAATTAGCAAAAAATTAATCCCCAGGAATAGATGGTATACCAATTGACATATTTCAGCTAACAGATGCTGTGCTAGATGTGCTCACCAAGTTGTGCCAGGAAATTTGGAGTTCAACCATTTGGCCAACTGACTGGAAGAGGTCTAAATTTTTTCCATTCCAAAGAAAGATGACCCAACAGAATTTGGAAGTTATAGAACAATATCATTGATATCACATGCAAGCAAGATTCTGCTGCAGATTTTCCATAAAGGATTGGAACAGCATATCAACAGGCAACTGCCAGAAGTGCAGGCTAGGTTTAGAAGGGGTCGTGGTACTAGGGATGTTATAGTTAATGTTAGCTGGATCTTGGCTGAAAGCAGGGAGTACCCGCAGAATGTCTATCTGTGTTTCATTGACTATGCAAAGGCATTTGGCTGTGTGGATCATAACAAACTGTGGCTGACTCTGAGAAGAATGGGAATCCCAGAACATTTGATGGTGCTAATGCGAAACCTACACTTGGACCGGGAGGCAGTCGTCAGAACAGAGCAAGGAAACACTACATGGTTCAAAATTGGGAAGGGTGTACGCCAGGGATGGGTTCTATCTCCATACTTTTTCAACCTATATGCAGAACAGACTATCCGGGAGGCTGGGCTGTATGAGAAGTGTGGCATCAGGATTGGTGGCAGATTCATCAACAATCTGCGGATGACACAACCCTGCTTGCTGAAACTGAGGAGGACCTGAAGTGCTTGCTGCACAGGGTCAAGGACTGCAGCCTTCAATATGGATTGAAGCTCAATATTAAGAAGACAAAGGATCTCACCACTGGGCCAATTGGAAGCATCAGGATGGATGGTGAAGAGATTGGGATTGTTCACAGCTTTAGTTTGCTTGGCTCCACAGTCAACACTCTTGTCACCAGCAGCCAGGAAATGATAAGATGTATTGCAATGGGAAAGTCTGCTATTAGGGATCTCTCCAGGGTACTGAAGAGCAATGATGTCACTCTGGAGACTAAGGTGTGCCTGATATAGACCATGGTCTTTGCAATCGCTTGCTATGCATCAGAGAGTTGGACAACGACTAGGGAGGATAGAAGGAGAATTGATGTCTTTGAGCGTTGGTGCTGGAGAAGAGTATTGAATGTACCATGGACTGCTAAGAAAATGAACAGGTTCATCCTGGAGGGGGTTAAACCAGGTTGATCCTTGGAGGCAAGGATTTTGAGGTTTTGTCTGACATACTTTGGACATGTTGCAAGGAGGGACCAGTCCTTGGAGAGGAATATCGTGCTTGAGAGGGTGGAGGGACAGCACAGGAGGGGAAGATCCTCTATGAGGTGGACTGATTCAGTGATTGGGGTCATTGGGGTAGGTGTGTCAGAAGGCAGTGAGATTGGCATGAGACAGAGCAGGGTTTACGGCTGTTGTACATATAGGGTCGCTATGAGTTTCAAGCAACTTGACGGCACATAACAACAACAACATTACAGCCTGAATGTCTTCTTCCTTAACATTGTCTCTTGGTCATATGATATTTTCTTTCAACAGTTCTACGTCAACCAATTTTTTGTACAGTGATTCTGTATATTCCCTCCATCTTCTTTTGATGTTTCCTAGCTCATTCAAGATTTTTCCCACAGCATCTCTAACTATTGCAACTTGAGGCCTGAATTTGGTTTTCAGTTCTTTCAGCTTGAGAAATGCTGAATGAGTTCTTCCCTTTTTATTCTGCAATTCTAGGTCTTTCCATTATAATAGTTTGCTTTGACTTCTCACGTCATCGTTTGGTATCTTTTGGTCTGCTCATTTTCCTCAACATCTCTTACCTTCGTTTTAGCTTCTCAATGCTCCAGT